CAGCTCCGTGTTTGCCAGGAGATGCTGGAGGAGGTTTAGAGGCGTTGGGAAAAGTCTTTTCTAAAGGGTGTTCTGACACCCCTTGTTTAAAGTTTGTCGGTTTGTAGCACTTGGGAGTTTGATCCTCTTCTGTTTTTGTGACAAATCCCAAACTTCTGTGTTCCATGGCTCCTCACAGGGGACACCCTGTCACCTCGTCCACACCAAGTTGTTGTCTGGTGCTGCTGGGAGTGTTTCAGGAGGAAGGACGGACATTGGATAGAAACCACATTCCAGGAATGACTCCTCCAAGGCAGGAGTTCAGCTGAGGTTCTTCTCTTGTGGCAGAAAAGTTCAAAAAATGTCCTGAAAACAGGTTTGGAAACTGATTTTGGATGCCAGCCCCTGTTTTGGGGCAGATAATGTTATCTGGGATGTAGAGATTATTGAAGTGTTCTCTTTGAATCTGTCATTGCTGCTCAAGCATTTTAAGATATGGTTAATAACTTGTAAAATGAGCGAAATACCACTTGTAAAATGGGATCTGTTTCAGACAACCTCTGGGTTTTTAAACTCAAAACATAAATGAATGTTGTCGAGGGGGGAAAACAGGCACAAAGGTGAGAGTGAAGGGAGTTTGCACATTTTGGGTGTCAAATCCGGTTCAAAAACCTGTTCCAGACTTTCACCACTGGTTTAACCACAGAGCTGGAGTGGAGGGAAGGCAGACTGAAATCTAATTTATTGAGGAGTTTCTCCTTCTTGAATATGAAAAGTAACCCTTCTGTGCTTAACAATCCACTGGGGCTTTCCAGGCTGAGCCTGGTTCCTGGCGGAGCAGTGCTGGGGGAGCAGTGCTGGGATTAACCCCTTGCACACCCGGAGCAGTGCTGGGGGAGCAGTGCTGGGATTAACCCCTTGCACACCCCGGAGCAGTGCTGGGATTAACCCCTTGCACACCCCGAGCAGTGCTGGGATTAACCCCTTGCACACCCCAAGCAGTGCTGGGATTAACCCCTTGCACACCCCGGAGCAGTGCTGGGATTAACCCCTTGCACACCCCGGAGCAGTGCTGGAGCCCCTCGGGGCTGTGCAGGGCTGGGATTTTCCCATAGGAAGTGTTCTGTTCCCTGTGACCTCCCTGTCCCCTCACAGCACAAAGCACGTTATTCTTCCCCTGGGACTGCGAGGGGAGAGCAGGACCCTGGTGTTAGAGCCCTTTGTGCAGCAGCTCTGAGAAGGGAGGTTTGTCCTCAGCCTGGCTCTTGTTTTCCCACCTCTGAAGTCCTCACAGGAATGTTTCATCCCTGGCCCTCGCTGGGCCAGAACCCACACTTGCTGAGGAGAGGGAGAGCTGGGTTCCTGAGGTCTGGGCCTCTCCTCCTTCCCCTGCTCCCCTTTGCTGCTGGTGGGATTTGGGGGCTCCGTGGCAGCTGACATGGTCAGGGATCCCTTGGTGGGATTTGAGAGCTCTGTGGCAGCTGACACAGTGAGGGATCCCTTGTGGGATTTGGGGGCTCTGTGGCCTCTGACATGGTCAGGGATCCCTTGGTGGGATTTGAGAGCTCTGTGGCAGCTGACAAGGCCGGGGATCCCTCTGAGCACCTTGAGGCCCTGAACCACCTCCAGGAAAGGGCAGAAAAATGCAGGTGTTTTGCTGGTGTGAGTGATCCGACATCTGGCTGTTTGCACCTCCAGGGGCACTGATTTCCCATGTTTTTGGGTGTCTGTGGTGCTGAGTTCCAGCATTCCTGTGGAATCACCGAGGTGCTGAGGGCTCAGGAGAGGCTGGAACCATTTGCAGGTTGAGGGGAGGCCGTGGGTCGTGGATTCCTCTGCTCTGTGTGTGCTGGAATAGCCTGGGAGTGTGTGCAGCACCAATAACTCAGTCCCTGAGGCTGTGGGCACACCCTGTGTGCCGGGAAGGAGGTGGCACATGTCCCATTTGGACCCTCCATTCCTGGCTCTGGATCCGAGCTGGAGCACACATCTGATGTTCCTCATTCACAGAGTGAATTCCCAGTGCTCTGGCTGATCCTGTCTCCAGCAGCATCAGTCCTGCTGCTCCCACTTGTCCTGGGGCAGCTCTGGAGACAGAAGGTTGCTCTGATCCTCAGGAGCTGGTGCTGGATTGCTGGGTGTTGGATGGATGGATGGATGGATGGATGGATGGAT